ATATATATATATATATATATATATATATATATATATATATATATATATATATATATCCAGTATTTTGTCAACCTGCGCTCTTGAGCAAAAAATTATATCCGGTAACAAATGAATTGTTGTTGTCCATTACATCACTGTTTTTGAGCTTTCCTTATCCGCCGAGTTGTTTGAGAGACTTAAGCACTCATATGTATAAATGGATACATATATATCAGCTTACACTCAGCCTTCTGAAAAACTCATTTGGTATACTTCCTTGAAATAGACTATATGTTTGATGTGAGATTGCGAAGCATTGCATTTATCAATATTAACTTTTAACAGTGGGTCAGATAATTGAGGGAATGACTGCTTATATTTAATTGTTTCCAAGCAAGTGAGAAAGAATCTTATTGTTCCTTTTTGTTAAAGCAATTGGAAATTTAACTGATGTCACTTTAACTTCAGATTTGTTGGGAAGAAGTTACACTGTTTTATTCTTCATCAATATAAAGTAATGACAAAATTGGAATTGCCATGACAGTTTATATTTGATCCTCCTAACATGGCTTTTTTCTTAAATCCTCGAAAAGTGGGATTTACATATGTTTTCATTCTACGTTTTATGAAGATAATATGCACCCTGCTTCTTTAAGCAGTTTGTTTATTTTTATATCACTGTTACAGATAGTATCATTTTGAAGCATTAATGAGAGTTCTTCGTTTGGGTCTTATATCACAAATCAAATTTACCGATGAAATATTCTGATGTAGCATTTGGCGGAGAAAGAGTAACACTCAAATATAAGCAAAATTTTTATCAGGGAAGAAGTAGCCTAAGTCTACGAGTTCATACTAGAAAAGCGACTGTAAGGAAAATTATGAATGAGAGAGAGGAGTGATAATGATGAATTCAAAGTAAAGTGAAACGGATAAGTGAATAAAATTAATCTAGCAACCATGTATATAGGTGAAATGAGAGATGGAAATACTCCTTTGAAATTGTTTGAAAATATTGTCAAAGTTGGTAAAACGCTAATCGTATGTGATGCAAGTGAAAAAAAACTGCTTTTTTGAAGCAGCCATGAACTTTTCTTCGCTTGTTACTGTTTTTCACTTTCTCAACTTCTCAACTTTCAATTCACTTTCCCAACTTTTTGTGATTTGTAAGTTGTCAATTCAGAATGTGAATTTCAAGGTTTTAATGATAAATTCTTTGTGAACCACGTGATGTTAATCGGAAATCACATTTCTGATTTCAAATCACAATCTATTGAACCGATGTAAGTAGCTGCAGAAGTACTAATTGGAGATGGAAGAGTCTTGGTGAAGTGTTTTATCCAATATTTTAACGCTACCGCTCCTGAGGAGCATTGCTTTCTGCCTAGGCTTCAGGGTGACCAAGTATTATCTTCCCCTTCTTGGCATAGTCCCATGAATAAATGTCCAGGGCTTGCCATGATGAACTCCCTGTTTTAGCTAACATAAGATTTGGAAATTCATAGTTCGTAATGAGGTGAAAAACCGATCAAAAATCCTATCATCGTCAATGCCTTATAATAAATTCAGAAATATGATATGATCTTCACGTTTGCAGGACGGTTCTCTCCCAAATTTTCCGATTCGCTATCCTTATGATCATATGTCGCATAAAGCATGATAGAATGAATATGCAATTCAGCAGTTAGTTTGAACCCCACCATACTGCCATACCTCTTCACGGTACGCGGTGGTTCGCCATAAATTCTCACCATCTCAAGTTATGAAACCACTCCTTTCTGTAGAAAAGGTACTACCACCTATGAATTTATCTTAGTTCGAATTGTCTTTAACCACAGGACTCTCAAATAACCAACAGTGTCATCTCTCCGCTAATTCAGTGCAAACTGAGATGAATAAATCATTATCACCCAACCCTTAATTTCTGTATGATAACTGTTTGTGTTTTTTAGAATTAATACATGAGATTTCCCATTTCCGATACACATACGAATCTATCGCTTTCGAAAATAAGATCATTTGATCTCCACTAATACTAACGCCTTATTTTACCTCAATGTGGATTTTTCTTTCCTGATTACCAAGATATCAGCATCTGTAAAGTTAAAGCAAAAGTTCCCTTGAACGCAAAAGCCAATCCACAAGCCAATCTACAATAAAAATGAGAAAATAACGGAATAAATTAGTAAAGAGTTTCTTTCTTAAGAATTCACTTAGAATCCAGTACAAGAAATGCCCTGAAGAAATTTCGTACTTTCGTTCCCACCTCTGTAATAAGCTCGACAGAATAAACAGCAGCTTTAAGAACAAATCGGTTCTAAAAATTAACAAGAGATGAGATAATTTACACGTAATTCGACTTGTAAGTTCAGATATCATATCCATTCATATATGAAATGAGATTTAACAACTTCCAAATTATATCAGAATTCATTAAACGGTACGTATAAAATACAAAAATAATGCAATACTGATTCACCAATTGTCTTTATCACCTTCACTATCCTCTTCATCATAGAAACCCATCTCACCAATATGTCTTTCCAGATCTTCGTAATCATTAAATCCATCTGATGCTGTGTCTTCGTTTGAACCACAACCAGAAGTATGCTGAAATAAGCATTCAGTAATAACCTAAATAAACAATCTTTTTAACAATACAACACTAGACAATTTTTACAAAGGACTGCTTTAAAACACAACTACCGAACACCAGCAAAAACATTATCTGCTTTATAGACGGTCTTTCAATGCTCTAAGGAGTAGTATGCAAATTGGCTATGCTTATTATACATTAATAACAATAAGCTATATAATGGGTGCTACACCAATTAATAAGTCCTTTATAGTGATCTTGCAGAATGCTCCAACTGCTCCTGTCATATTCCATGATACGTCAATCGCAGTCGAACTAAAGTTAACAAAAGACATAAGCTTAGGTAACGACTAAGAATAACAAGTGTTCTAGAAAGCGTAAGATATATGCACAAATTAAAAGAGATATATAAAACGTTTCTTGTTCCGTCACAGCAAACAAAATCATCTCTATTGAATCCTTTTTTTTGTCACGTAAAGTTTACTCCTGATACTTGCCTCGGATTCATCAGGATAATCGTTACGCCAGTTGTTCTCATCATTCGAATCCTCGTCATCTTCTGCACTGCTTTCTGTATCTTCACCATCACACAATAAATCATCAGCTTTTGCTAAGCGAACCTAAAAGTGGTGGGAACTTTTACAATTTATGAGAAAAGTCAAATCATTTAGAATATGAGTATAATTTAGGCATCAAATGTGATAAGTAGTCAAAAAATAAAAGAAAATTTCGAAATATTTACATCTCGGATTTGGTAAGCCATACATCCATCTGCCTTGGAACTCCAGTAATAATCGAAAATGAAGTCCTAAACACAGTTACCTGAATCTCGACATTTCAACAATTTTAATTCATTCTAATATAATTAACACAAAGTTTATATACTCTACATGTTAATATCATTACATCAAAACAGGAAAAAACAAATAATAAATGCATTTACAAAATAATACAAAGGTGATACCATAACACTGGACCTTCATTCAATATTCTTGATGAAGAAACGAAAGACTTGTACTAATCTCTTGTTTACGTCATGTACTTACTCTGAATCCAATAATACTAGTAAGAACTCTTCCAAAAAAAGTAATTTAATGATGAGGGTTTTGAATCTTTTTATTTAACTGGACGGAACTAACTTCATCATCTTGACCGTTTAGCATAACCAACGGTTCTCCATTTAACGTTATCTGACTCGATTTGACAGTTGTTTCACCGATTACCTTACTGCTAGACGATGGTTCTTCCACAGAATCTTTCATCAGTTCCAAAGGGTTGTTAGATGAAACGTCACTTTTACTGTCACTATTCTCTATTGCGTCGTCAGTGTTGGATGGTGGCGGCCTTATTGTGTTCACAGTGTTCTGATGTGGATCCACATCAATGATGTTGAAATGTTGTGAATGCGTAACATCACCAAATCCCAGCTAGAACAAATTATTTTAAACATTAACAACTCTGGTTTGACAAACTAAAATTTATGAACAGTTGAAAAATGATCTCTATACTAATGGATAAAAAAAGTGGATGTCGACGGATTATATTAAAAACTAAACAGAAAAAGAAAAAAGAAAGAGATACAAGTAAGGTTATGGGAATCGAAATAATGGATTTCTATAAATCTAAGTATTCCAGATTCTCGTATCTGGGTTAATCTAAGTGTGTAGGAAAGAATGAGTATTAATAATATTAAAAATGAACATGAGATACGTCACTTCCCACAATAAATTAACTAGAAATATGAAACAACCAATTCAGTTGTCGGTTTTTCAACGTAATATGCCTTTCGACAGTTCCCGAATGCGCAACATGTAGGGCTTTTAAAAAAGACTTACCATATCAGCAGTATACCATTTTATCTAAATCATTAAACAGTCAAGTATGGATTAAGATAAACACCTTTAAGTTAGTTGCTGAAGCTCGAAAACAAATAATTGGTTCTGTTACGGATGACATTTGTTTGGCGCGCTTCAATGAAATGACTAAAGCCCCATGTGGATCAGCAGTTCGTTTTCGACGTACACGAAATATTGTTGAGCGGAATAATGATGGTGAGGGAGAGGATGGCGACTGAGATGATGTTAGATGGCTTGCGAACATCACTTCTAATAAATAAGAATTCAGACTTGAAAATAAGGAAAAATATTGAGCCGAATAACCGTACGCTATTTATTCGTTTGCTTCTCGGCGTTCTTTAATAGCTTCCTGAAAAAAAAAAAAAAAGCACTCAGTAATTAAACTAATAAATTGTTTAGAAAATTGGTAAATTAATATAATAAAAGTCACAAATCGCTTCATTTTAATCCTTGTACTAGGCCAGAAAATATTCAACCACAACCTTTTGCAAAAGCTCAATGTGAATTACCGATGAAATACGCTTTATGGTTATCATCCAGAGATATCCAAAACTTATTTCATTTGAGAATGTTGGTATTATCCACGAGTGGTGAGGTTGAAATTTCCGCAAGGATAGGGTAAAAATCCACTCACTCTGAATCGTTCTTCAAACAAGGAAAGTTCAGCCATAAGATCAGTGATAGCACTGGTAAGAGCGTCCGCAGGAGTGGTATCCGATGTTGTTTGTACTCTGAGGATAAATTTGTGCTCCAATGGATGTGGACACTTATAACCAGCGAATAATACTTGAGGATCTTTCAACAACTGACTGCAACCGTACCGGAATAAGTTTTATAAGAAATTTCTGCAACAAATCTAGAAAAAGGAAAGTAAACTGCTTCTGCTCATTCACAATACCATAATCAACTTATCACATTGTTGTTACTTCTTGTACTTGGCATTTTGTTAAACAAAACAATTACAGTCCTAAGACTAGCCTACTAAAATTTAAATGCTGTGCTACAAAACTGACCTTCAAATTACTCGATAATAAGCTGTCATAAAATCAATTAACTGATTCAGTCAATAAACAATACACTATGGTCATTCATCCAAATTTCAAGAGCAAAACTATCAGGCCTAATTTTAATTTAACTTCTATAAATTGGAATCCATCCTATAAACTGATTCTTAAATCAATCTTTATTTGTAGTGAATTGTGTTATTCGAAGAGAAACGAACTGCTTGAGGAGATTCCCGATCGTGTGATCTTCCTTGTTTACTGTAAATATAGCAGCGTTAGGTACTTTGGTGTCTTTCTCGATAGTTATCTTCTTCTCACCGTCAAATACCAGAAACGACTCGAACGGTGCCGGAGCGTTCATAAACTAATCTAAACTACTATTAAAATATTACGAAAATTTAGAAAACACAAACATTTTGAACAACTTTTTCGACACTAACCAAAGAATACACTGTCGGCACTGACTACATAAAAATGGAAATAACAAAAAAAAAATGAAATTCCTCGATGTCGCGGGATCCAGAGTTTCCAGATGTGCATCTGAAGAACATCTTACAAACAAAAGCAATGAACAAGCAACACAACTGCCTTACCCCCCTCAGTAATATCCCAATAGAAACCAAATTCTTCCTCCATTCATCAATTCAGACCAGTGCATCACGACGATTTACCCACAAGGCAAATGCATATCTCACAAGTTAAACATATGAAGAGTTACCCTTCGTCAGAGTGATATTTCTACTTCTTCCTGTTAACGTGATCTATTTGGGATTAAAGTGATGCGCGATATTTGGAGAATTGTGGTACTTCATATAAAGGTACCTATAATTCTAGAAAGTGAAGCTTCAAGTGTTCATGTTATATGATAATAAAAGTAGAAGAAAAATAAATTATGGCAAGTTATTCCCCTTTCGCTTCCCGTGGAAGAACTCTTAAAAGGTAGTCAGTACTTGCTCCTCATCAAGTTACTCTTAATTTATAATATTTAAAGTATTGTACTGCTCAAGAACTTTAGTAAATCAACAGATCATCCATTTCCAAGCATTTTATACTTATAGCATTTGTCATGCACCGATAACCGCTTCCATGAAAGAATGACAAAGCTTGGAGCCAAGGTGATCAATAATTTTTGATAAATCCCTTTCTTGATCTGGTCTTTTATTTCTTGGGCCTAAAGCTTGGTCTGCTGGACAGATAGTCGAGATGAGGCCTGGACTAACAAGAGAACCAATAAAAATAAAGACTGGATGGGGCGGTGCATATTGTCGACATCTTTGGATACGGTAGGAGAGTTTGCTGAGGATAAATTCGGAGGAAAGCAGGAATGGATTCGATGCTTTTCCTGGCATGGTACTCGATGCTTACGCATTGACATTATCTAACTCACCATTATCAACGTCATCATTATCGTTATCATTATATCACAGTAATTTAATAATGGAACTTTTTTTTTACACTGATAACAATCATTTGAGAGTTTAATAATCATTTCTCGGTTCAGGTCTTTATTTTCCAAATTACCGAATTCTGAATCATCGATTCCAAGATGCAACAGATCATCCTAGAAAATTCAGTTTTATCCTGAAACGATATACAACCAATGACTTCCGAAAATTTGGTNACAACGATGGAT